GTGTGTAGTCGTGAATGGGAGACGTGCCTTGGCGCAGCCGCAGTAACTGTTCGGGCACAGATAGCACTCCTGCTGTGTGACCAAAGACTTCTTTGAAATGGTTAGTGAAGGCATCATAGGAATTAATTATGGCACTATTAGCGTTCCATATGGCCTTAGCCCACAACAGCGCTCTTCCATTAAGAAGTGATATCAGGAATGCTACCTTAGTGCGTTCGGAGGAAAACTTCTGCGGCTGCATCCTGATGAACAAGGCCACTTGCAGGAGGAAGCCGCCACACTCAGCTGTATCACCCGCGTAGGAAGCAGGCATGGCCATGGGACTTACAGAGGCAGATTGGGGGGTTGCCGGAGGAAGCAGAGAAGCCCGGAGGGCGTTTACCAGCTCCTCCAGGACTTCTGCGGGTGTGGGAGGTCGAGGATCCATGGAGGTAATTGTATTGGTCCGGTCTTCTGTCACAAAGCAAGGCCAGACACAACAGGTAAGTGCAAAACAGGATGGTTTATTGACTTGGTAAGTGGAAGACTGGAATGGGTGAGTTAAAGGCAGGTGAATGTCAACACAGTGAATGGTTCCAGGGTGCTTATCTGAGTTCTGATGGAGAGGATCGTATGCCGGTTACGTTGGAGATCGTGGAGCCGTTTCCACGGAGTCGTTGGAGGATCGTGGGAGGAACAGCAGGTAACCGTAATTCGTTCTAGGAGATTTTGGCAGAGAGAGTCCAGAGTAGTTCGTAGGAGTGAACGGTAGACCGGACAGTGAGTGGCTGTGCTGTGTGTGTATTTGTAGTGTGGCTTGATTGGTGACAGCAGGTGCGGGTGATCAGAACTCAGGTGACTGTGATCGGGTAATTATCCTGGATGGTGACTAAAGTGACTGTGATGACTCCCTGACAGTCGTCCTCTCACATCAAAATCCACCATATTTGTTTAGAACAGTTTTGGACTGTTTTTGCTTGTAAACAATGCTTGTGCATATTTCTCTACTGATTCAGATGCAATGTAATGGATAGAGGACTAATATTTTTGCCAAAAGCAACGATTTTAAGTTAAAAACATATTGATATATTTATTTCACAAGGTGTTAATTGATGGACTGGAGTCGTGTGGATTGCTTGTGGATTAGTTTTATGTTTTTAACAGCTCTTATTATGATGGCACCCATTCACTGCAGAGGATCCATTGGCAAGTAAGGGATGTAATAATTAATAAAAAAAAAACATCTTTTCAGATAAAAAAAATAACTCATCACACGCTGGATGGCCTGAGGGTGAGTAAATATAAAATATACATAAATTAATAGATTTGTTTATTGTTTGGCCAAATATTTTGGACACTGAATATACCATTTTCAGTGCATTGGTGTGCTCAGCTGGCCTGATGTAACTGTGATGTTTTCTGAAAAGAATCCTCTAAATGGTCAAATGAATTGAGGTGGGGGGTCAGCGTGCAGCTCAAATAGAATCTCATGCAAATTTGTGAATTTTTCATTATAGGGGGACCACATTAAGGGAAATACAAAGGCACCCAAAATATTTCCCAGTTGTTCCAACCCTGATGAATCATCAGAACCTCTAGAACTCACGTACATTAAAGTTGGCATGAAACGGAAGTTGCGATTGTCTTTTCTTCTCTACTGTGACGTATATCCGAGTGAAACGGCATCTGAAATGAGAGGGTGGGACTTGATTTCGTCCTTCGGGAATTGATTGGATAGTTGGAAGGTGGGGCGTTGCAAACAAAATGGAGGCAGATCTGAATGCCAGTTTGCACTTAGTGGTGGGGGATTTCTCTCCACTGGATTCACAGCCGACACCCAAGCATGAATAAATGTTTTATTTATTAAGGATGACCACAACGATCAATGGCACAAAACATGCCTAAACAGCGTGAGCGCGCTGTAGGAGGCGGCAACAATACTACAGCGAGAATAAAAGTTACGCCTTCTTTCTTTGCGTGAACATTTGGGCGGCGTTATGCAAATCTTCCCACATCGTGACGTAGACATGTGGGGGCGTGTTAGAACGAGCCGTTTTAGGTAGGCGTGGTTTACTCTTAACTTTTATAAAGAATATCTCTTTGGATTTGAGACTTTAGTCTTTGCAACTTTACAGATCTTCTTTATGCACCAAGAGCTTGTAACACTCCAAAGAGAAAGGAAAAATTGAGATCGCATCATATGACCCCTTTAATTTGTATTCTTGTCACATTTCTGTGCTCTCCAAGAGAATATTTGTACGTGTGCCCACCATTTATATAACAGTAACCAAGGATATACTACAAGTCAAGTGGTAAATCAAATACTAAACCTCAAGTGATAATAAAAATGCTAATATAATGGCAAACATTGGTCTTGCACTGCTAGATACACCTGCTTAGATGACTCAAGTATTAAGATTAATAGAGAGAACATTTTGCTGAAGCACTCAAGGACAAAACCCTGACAGGAAGCCATTCAGTACATCTAAAACATAAATGAATAAATAGAATCTTAAAGAAACCAAAACCAAAAGCTAATCCTAAATAATCTGACGGCAATGAATCACAGAACTCAACGTATCCAGGCAGCTGTACTGCTTAAATGTTTAGAAGAGGTGTGAGGAGTGTTTTTGATCAGACCTTTATAACGAAACAGAACTTGCTTTTGTTTACATTTTATTGTACATTTTATTATCTGTCATTTATTGACATGATTTAAAGTTATTTGCTCTACAATAAAATAACTGAAGCTAAGGACGTCAGAGAGAGAGAGAGAGAGAGAGAGAGAGAGAGAGAGCCATCATCACAAGAGCTACGCAGCAGCAGTCCAACGACCACAGAATCCTGCAGCTGCTGAACTCAACCAGATAAGACGTCTGCTGAACACCGTCTGCTCCAGACTCATGATATAACTCACACATATATGTACATATACACGCACACACGTCACAGACAAACCTATTCATGAAGTCTCTTAAAATCAGTTGTTGGAATATACAGGGTCTGCACTCTTCTACTTTCGGTAACAAGTCTGCAGACCAAGACTTACTCAGCAGTGTAACAGATATGGACATTTGTATCTTTCATGAAACGTGGTGTCGCAGTAATGAGGCTTTACATTGTCCAATAGGATACAAAGAAATTGTTGTTCCTTCATTAAAAAATTCTAAAATAAAATATGGCCGTGACTCAGGTGGAATACTTATCTGGCACAAAAACAATTTGAAACACTTGATAAAAATTGTTAAAATTGAAAATTCATCTATTTGGCTTGATATATGTTTGATAAGGAATGCAAATGTATCAGAAAAGACCTTCGACGGCTTGCTAACAAAAAGCATACAGAACCGGCCAATCAGACACTCCGGCTCGCCTACTTCAACTGTTTGAAAAATGATAAAAAGCTCATTTACAACAAAAGAGATCAATATAATGAAGCTAAAATTGCTGAAATCGATGAATCAATAGACCAAAACAATTTCTGGAATCTCTTTAAAAAATTTTAAAGCCCCAAATCAGACACATTACTTCTTCCACAGGTGCAAGAAGCAAGTTTTATTAGTCTGGGCACAAGCTCTAGCTCCAAGGCATAGGTAGGTTTCCTGTAATGGTTTTAATTGTACAGCAGAGGGGTGATTTAGTAATATCAAAAAACAAAACAATAACTGTTTTATACAATGTGGATGCTGTTTCACACAAAGCACTACAAACGATGTGTAATAATGAAAATGGTCATTACAAAACATTATAGAAATTATGTGCTAATACTACTAATATTTTGATACACTGGACTGGCTATCTGTTGTCATTACTTTCAAAAAGAACTGACTGCATTATGGATTATCTGTCATTAAACAAACAATTTCCAGTTGGCGGTCTAACTTAATAACCACTATAAAGAGTCGTAGTATATCTGCACCTCACAGGCTTGATAAAGAGAATCATCAGTTTGATAGAGGTGGCTTATCCTACTATGACCAGAGTGCTGTGGTCTCAGTGCCTCCTAGTGGATAGCAAAGTGTTGCAATTGTGGTTTGTAGCAACATCACTCTATGAGAAATGCATTAAAAACAGTCATCTTGAATATTCATGTCTATAAATTGCTTTTTGTGTGTGTAAAGACATAACTTATAATGAAGAATTACACAGTTTTCTATAATTTTCTGATTTGTGTGTATCTTGGCAACTCATTTCTATAACTGAATTTGAATCAGACAGGAGATTTGTCAAGTGTCAGGAGAAAAAAAAACATAATACAAAACAAATATAATGCATAAATATATGTTGCTTTTTATGTGTTGCTTATTTATTCAACCTTGTGATATTTAAAAATACATTTCACCAGGCAGAATTTATGTATTGTTATTACAGTGCTGGTTAGGAGGTTGTTTTCTTCCTTGCATTTTTGTTGTTCAGTAATAGCTTTGCATGATAATCAGGCCTGTAAGAGTCATTTAGACTTCAACATTAAAAAATTTAACTGTATGAAAGACAAAGTTTCAATGAAATTCTACTGTATTGCAGCAAGTTATTTTTTGTATTGTAGATCTATATTTTTATTTTATTACTTTTATTTTACAATAGAAGTGCTTTAGCAATTCTATTGTGTGCAAATTGGGTATAGTTTGCAAAACATTTGTCAATAAAGTAACTGAAATTGTAAAATAAATAAACAAATAAATATTTATTAAATTAAATAAAAATTAAGTTCATGGATTTTTTTTTTGCTCATTTGTAACATTACTGTCTAATACAGGGCCTATATATATATATATATATATATATATATATACACACACATACACACACACACACACACACACAATGTTTTATAGTGAGCCACAGAGCCTTTTTACGTCGGCTATGTGTGTTGTGTATGTATATATATTAGTGCAGCAGGCAACAGTTTTTGTGAGAGAGCAGAATCTCAGCCTGTCATTGCACCTCTGCCTCTGCACCCTGTCCGCAGCTCGCCTCGCGCTCCGTGAGCTGACAGCTCCGCCGCGCATGCGCAGGGCGTCTCCACTGGCTCGCTCGGTGCTGAAGTTGGGCGGATGGACGGAAAACACCTCTGATGGAGATAAAACGGCAGCACGTAATCTCAACGCGTGATACCCCCGATATCCGCATAAACACGTGTAACGACACCCTTTTAGAAGATTGACATCTAGAACAAAAGGGGTAAGGCGACATACGCTCTTTAACGGTCTCGGAGGTCCCGCTAGCTCGCCAGCTAATGCGCTAGCCGTTGCTTCCTTGCGCTCAGAAAATCAAAGAGCGGCTGCGAAAATAGAATAAAGTGGCAGTTACATTTCGCCTGTGAAAAATAGCGCGGCTTTAGGGAACAGTTTGCCCATTACTTTCAATTGCACCGCGCTGTCCTGTGATAGAAATGATTTAGGCTTTACCTGCGATGACTTTAGTAAAGATGCTGGCTGTGTCGCAAAACCCAGCGAGCTGCCTACCTAGACAGCATTTTTGGACATTATTCGAGCGGCTGAGATGTTCCACCAGCATTTATAACGCTCGTCGGCGTTTGGTGACTTCGTAGGGCCGTTTAAACCATCGTTAATGTACCAACGATGCCTAAACATGCGGTCTAGTTAGGATCCTCAGTAGGTTTTGACAAACAGCCGCGTTTGATTCCACAGACAGCCACTGCAACCGGGAATGAAGGCGAATAACGGGAGGACAGCCGTCTATATCTGTATATCACGGAACATTGTGTTATATTGTTATACTTAAGAAATTAAACTATGACTTTTCGTCCTAATGTACCTTTTATATTTACCTCTTTCGTAGCCGACCATTTTCTCACGATTGACCTTAAATTAAATATATATTTTTTTGAGTTTGTTTATTATTTCTCGGACTTGCCTGTAATTATTTTTCCTTCATTCAGTTATTGATGAGAGTTTCCTTTCGGAGGAGGGCTGATTGCTCCACCATTCATCATCATACAAGTTGTGAAGTTCCTCCCATTCACTGGTGCTTCTGGTTTTACAATGCAGCTGGTTGTGTGAAACAATCTGTTTCATGTGGGGAACATTTCGGGTGTCAAATCAGATGATTTGTCACTGAATCCATTCATTAAAACCAAGCAATAGTAACCCGCTCCACACAAATGAAAAGCACAGATTTGTGCTGTTTTATTTATTTATTTTATTCTATTTTTTTTTACATTTTTTTGTTTCACTATTGAAAACTCAAATGAAACGGTAATACACTGAAAATGAAAGCCAGTAAATCTGTATACTTCAATATACTTTCTATTACTACTGATATGCTTGGGTTTTCCCACATTTTGCTGTGATAGATAATGTAAGATTAATGTAGTATTGCAGTGTATTGCCTAGCAGAAATATTGACCTCTTTTCACTTGTCGATAAAGCCTAGTTAAAACAACCAAAATGTAATTTTTTAAGTTTAAGGGTTATTGAGATTACAATAGTGTTACCAGTGTCAGATAGTAAAGGAGGACATGTAATCTGCACATTATCAATTTAGATTTATTTTTTGTTTTTATTAATTTTATGGGGACAATATAGCATTGCGATGCAATCTTTGCTTTCCAAAATGTAATGTCTTATAATAAATTCTTCACTAAAGACTCAAATTTACTAGTTAACCAGTTAACTTATCTAGTTTAATATTAATGAAATATTATTATTTGAATATTTTAATGAATGCTCTTTGACTGTTTGATTAATTAGCTATTTGATTTTTATCAGTACATGCAATAATTCATTTAAAGTAGCAATGAAATGAAAGTAGCAGTAGAAAGATCTTTTCAGACAGTTTAAATGATTGCCTTGCATGTGTTACCAGCAAGAAGTCTGTCATTTTCAGTGGAACACTCTTAAAAATAAAGCTTCTTTATTGGCATCAATGGTTCTATGAAGAACCTTGAACATTGCAGAAAAGGTTCTTTATAGTCGAAAAAGGTTCTTTAGATTTTTAAAATGTTCATCAAATGGTCCTTTTAGGAACTGTTCAATTAAAGGTTCTTTTGGGAACCAAAAATGGTTCTTCTATGGCATCACTGCAAAACCACCCTTTTGGAAACTTTATTTGAAAGAGTGAAGGTCCAGTTATGACATGATTACATAATGCACATTATGACGTAACATTACATATGCATGGACGAGTTGTTCACAATAAGATATTTAACATGCATTTACAAATAGATAGGATGAATGCTTATTTCATGCTGACTTTAAGGTTCTTTGTGTTATTTATAAAAGTGTACATCCTTTTTGCTTCATTTTGTCAAACAGCACATTATTATTCTTGTGGCAAACACTAATTAAACAAGAATTAGATTATAAGAAGTCCAGAAGTAATCAGATTAGATTTTGAGTGCAATTTTACAAATTTGAGTAATATAAATTGTAATCAGTTTCAGAAGCGATCTACCCAGCACTAACTAAGAATTACCATTCATCTTTTAGTTTGGAGTAAACTTAGTTTATTCACGCTTATTAGTATTTATAGCCCTAGATTAAAGCAGTTCTGATGTTTTCTTTCTGGTGTGATTTATTTCCCAGATGTCTTATCCTGGATCATTTAGCCCTTGACTCAAGGAAAGGGTGTGCCTGCAAATACCAGGTGTTTGAAACCTACCTCCACCCACCTCCCGCATTCTCCATCAGGCATGATAAGAAGATACAAGAGGCCACATTTTGTTTTCCAGCACTCTGCCCGTCTCAGCGTTTGACATTACAGTCATGATTTTCTTACCTGATCTTCGGATGGATTGCTGCTAATTTGCATGGTAAGTTGGGGGGGTCCTCTCCTAGAGTGATTGCAAGTGCATTGATGATGTGGAAAATCACAAGACGTGTTTGCCGAGCGGTGATGTGATGCTGTGCAAGGTGAGAAATGTGGGTGAAACGGGCCCCTGTGTGATTATCACATGTATTAGAATTGCGGTGTGACATGTTTCTCGAGCTAGGCTTTGTGGGTAACGGCTCTAGGAGGCTTCTGTTGTGCAGCCAGCCATGGCCTATGCTATGCATCACTTGCTGCCCTGGAATGTGTATGGGGAAGTGCACAAGGGCGCATGAGACTTCCAGTGGGAGAACAGGGTTAGAGGCGGGACGACTGCGGCATCTGAGCATGCTCGCACGCAGAGGCATTTTCACACGTTGTAATGTAATTCACGAGTGCAGACTGTGATGTATTTTAAGCAGGAAAGTGAGTTTTCAAGTGCTTGCTGTTAGAAATATGTGCAATTAAAGAAACCTGTTATTTTGAATTTTAAAAATGCATTCAAACTTTAAAGGGGTCATATGATGCGATTTCCAAACACTAAACAAGAATTAGATTATAAGAAGTCCAGAAGTAATCAGATTAGATTTTGAGTGCAATTTTACAAATTTGAGTAATATAAATTGTAATCAGTTTCAGAAGCGATCTACCCAGCACTAACTAAGAATTACCATTCATCTTTTAGTTTGGAGTAAACTTAGTTTATTCACGCTTATTAGTATTTATAGCCCTAGATTAAAGCAGTTCTGATGTTTTCTTTCTGGTGTGATTTATTTCCCAGATGTCTTATCCTGGATCATTTAGCCCTTGACTCAAGGAAAGGGTGTGCCTGCAAATACCAGGTGTTTGAAACCTACCTCCACCCACCTCCCGCATTCTCCATCAGGCATGATAAGAGAAGATACAAGAGGCCACATTTTGTTTTCCTGCACTCTGCCTGTCTCAACATTTGACATTACAGTCATGATTTTCTTACCTGGTCTTCGGATGGATCGCTGCTAATTTGCATGGTAAGTTAGGGGTGGTCCTCTCCTAGAGTGATTGCAAGTGCATTGATGATGTGGAAAATCACAAGACGTGTTTGCCGAGCGGTGATGTGATGCTGTGCAAGGTGAGAAATGTGGGTGAAACGGGCCCCTGTGTGATTATCACATGTATTAGAATTGCGGTGTGACATGTTTCTCGAGCTAGGCTTTGTGGGTAACGGCTCTAGGAGGCTTCTGTTGTGCAGCCAGCCATGGCCTATGCTATGCATCACTTGCTGCCCTGGAATGTGTATGGGGAAGTGCACAAGGGCGCATGAGACTTCCAGTGGGAGAACAGGGTTAGAGGCGGGACGACTGCGGCATCTGAGCATGCTCGCACGCAGAGGCATTTTCACACGTTGTAATGTAATTCACGAGTGCAGACTGTGATGTATTTTAAGCAGGAAAGTGAGTTTTCAAGTGCTTGCTGTTAGAAATATGTGCAATTAAAGAAACCTGTTATTTTGAATTTTAAAAATGCATTCAAACTTTAAAGGGGTCATATGATGCGATTTCAATTTTTCCTTTCTCTTTGGAGTGTTACAAGCTCTTGGTGCATAAAGAAGATCTGTAAAGTTGCAAAGACTAAAGTCTCAAATCCAAAGAGATATTCTTTATGTACAAATAATACATTACATGAAATACATCCGGAAATTTCAAACAGATTTTTTATCTCTTTTAAAACTAGATTTGATCAAGTGGTATTTACCAGATGTTGCATAGGTCATACAAGACTGACTTTCGTGATCCATTTAGCAGTCATTGCTGGAACAGAAAAAGATTTCTTTGAAGATGTGTAGTGTGTGTGTGTGTGTGTTTAAAATTTAACTTTTGGGTAGATATCTCAATATCTGTAACAGAAACACACACCAAAGGCTGAAGAATTATTATGTCCCAGATACATGTACAAATAATACATTACATGAAATACATCCGGAAATTTCAAACAGATTTTTTATCTCTTTTAAAACTAGATTTGATCAAGTGGTATTTACCAGATGTCGCATAGGTCATACAAGACTGACTCATGCATTTTTGCCTAAAGGTGAAGAACCTACTCAATGCATGTTCTGCAAGATTCCCCTTTCTGTCAAACATATTTTATTGGACTGTCCAGCTTTTAATGTATGTAGAAAACTCTTTTATGAAGTGAACTCACTTAAAAAGTTATTTAGTATAATTTTGGCAGAAAAAGGTTTAGAATTTTTATCATATGTTAATGTAAAAAATCTTGTGTAATATAACTTGTGATTGTTTGTTTGCTGGTTTTTATTGTATTTGTTATACTTGTATTTTTTAATTGTTTTTGCCATGAAAATAGCCTTAGATGCTGACATGGCATATATACTATACTATACTATTATGTCCCAGACAGATTATCTTTGCCAGTTGTTTCAGCCTTTTCTTCTCTGGAAAGCTCTTTTATTAACATAAATTATTACATGGCTATCTGGAATACTTGATTCTGATTGGTCAATTGTGTGCATTGTCCAGGGCAATACTTTATCACTGACTATAGCTGATAAAATGTAATTATTAAAGGGAAAGTTCCCCCCAAAATTAAAATCCTGTCATCATTTACTCACCATAATGTTGTTGCAAACCTGTACGACTGACATTCTACTGTTGAACACAAAAGAATATATTTTGAAGAATGTTTATAACCAAACCTTTTTGGTGACTATTGACTTGTATTGTATGGACAAAACCACTGAAACATTTCACATAATATCTTCTTTTATGTTCCACAGAAGAAAGAAAATCATACAGGTTTGAAATAACATGAGTAAATTATCACATAATGTTTTTGGGGGGTGAACTATCCCTTTAAAGCAATGGAGACACATACAAATGATAATGACAATGAACAGTTTTGACAGAATATTTACATGAAATTCACTGATAATATCTGAAAACAGAACGTGTGAATTATCTGTGACAAGACAGCAAAGGGACATAGTTATTGGCTATTAATCTCAAAATAGCCAAATATTGTCTCATACATTGGTCTGTCGCTAGTTTTTAGCGCCATGAATTTTTTTTAGCTTAACATGATATAAAATGATGTATGACTTTCTGTGAAATCAAACTGAGCCTGGTTGTATAATTGTTTTTATACAACTTCTTGTTTTACATATTGCGCAGAGTTGTTGGTCAATACTCTAGATGTGAACAAAGGGACTCCTCAGTGTGTTTTGCATCAGGATGCATGTTTTCCATTGCCTGGCACTGAATAACTGATGGTAGTTATGTTTTGCATATTTGGTTTATGTGGCTCCATTAGGGTAAACTCTCAAAGAGTGTTCACAAATACATCCCAGACAAACTGAGCTTTCATCACCAGGTAGAAGGGCTGTTTATCAACACTTTTTTAAGTGTAAGAATGAATTTAGAGGTAAGGTTTCTGTTTCAAGGTCTTTGTTTAACTAAATATTCCGAGTATTCATATTTTGGTGTATGTGATATCAGTAATATTGATAGTATGTAATGAGACTAAGAAAACAGTACACTACTATTACCCTAGTACAAGCACAATACTAATACTAAATAACAAACAAAATGTTTACTTTCATATGCAGTGTGCTTTATATATTTATTTTACAGAGCAAATTTTGTGTAGCATATTTAATGCTGTGTCTTCTTACATAAAAATTGGCTGTTGTGTGGTTTTTGTCCTTTATCACAGCAATGCATTTCAATCAGCAATGAATCTTTAAATTATGCACCACACGTTGCGACAAAAAGTCAGCCAACCAAATGCCCTGTGGTTATGTGGTTATGGGATATTTACCAATACCATACTGGGAAACGATAATTTGATACTGGCCCAGACCTTCAGCTTGTCCGTTTAGTGCCCAGACTTTTTGTCCCTAAATATTTGGATCAGATGTCTAGGTGATGTGATATGGTGTTTGTGCTGCCAAACCCTGCCAAAAGATCAGTTTCCAGAAAGCTTTGTGCTAAAATGAACAAATTTGTTGAGGGCCTGGTGTGAGGCATCATGTTTACCAAGGTTTCCCAAAGTCTAGTGCCAAATTATTTATTTGCAGGTCACGCAAACAACTTGTTGGGCTTAAAGCGATTAATTGAATAGAGTAATGAGGCAAGTCCCATTCAAGTCCCATAAAGGCCACAATACACCTGAAGTGGTGCAGGGGTTAAATGGATAGTTAACTATGAAATCAAACATCTGTCAACATTTACCTTTATTGCTTTTGAAACCATTTTGACTTTAACTTTCAGTCTATTCTTCAGACAAATGTATCAAATGGCTTCAGAAGAATTGGTAGCCTAAATACTGTTTATTAATACTTTAAATTATCTTTTATTTTTATCTTTTCCGTTTTTTTATTCTAAGTTTTAGTATTTTTTATGTTTTTATTATTCATTATTATTATTATTTTTATATTTTATTATTATTATTATTATATTAAGCTGTAATTAAATTTTATTTCATTTTTTAGTTTGATTAGTTTTAGTACCTTAAGTTTTTTTTTCTCTGTTGAACACACACACAAAAAAGAAGAAGAAAAAAGAAGAAGAACAAACAGTTGCTGGTAGCCATTGACTTCCATACTATTTTTTTTCCATACAATGGAAGTCTGGCTACCAGCAACTGTTTGTTTTTTTCATTTTTGGGTGAATTATATAAAATACTTAATCAAATATTTAGATATTTATACATTATAATAATTACATTATATGTATTATATAATTATAATAGATATAATATTATATATAATCTTTTAATTAACAAAAATAATTGTTAATGGTTTTAATGAATATATATATATATGTAAATAAATGTATATATATATATTTACATATATTAATCAGTTATATCAGATATCAGTGATCAAAATCACATGACAAAATTATCTTTTGAATTACTATGCTCATGTGTATGCAAGTAAGGTGCTTCTATAGTACCGAGACCATATGGTCACTATTAATAAAACTGTCAAACAGAATAATCACCCATGTGTTTCAAAGACATGTTAATGGTCTGGTGATGGATCACAGTTAGAGTGGAGCAGAGCTCACAGTAACAACACTTGCTTATTTCCTCTCCTGATAGAGTGCTTCTTGGAAACACATGCAACGCAGTTAAAATGTTTGTGGTAAAGATCTTTGCTCTGATGTTGTTTTCAACAAGCCAGTGATATTGGGAACCAAACATGGAAGAATTTATTGAAAACCATTTTATTTCACGTCTGCTCTCTGGTTGCCTGTGTACAGGTAAAAATGTTGATTTGCATGGAGATTTATCCGTATTTGGCGCCAAGCCTCCATCATGAAATCTAAAATGAGAATTTGGTGGCTTTCAGTTTATGTTCATATACTAGAAAGCTCCCAAATGTTGACAAAAATCACTTTTCGCACATTGAAAACGTATCATTTTTCTTTTTACAGTTAAACGGAACTAAATATCGATGACTCATTTAGTCTCAAAAACGTTTCCTTGACAATGTACCTTATCTATTTGTCTAATTAGTTTTCTCTTGAAGAACCTTTTAGGAAGGATTCATATGGTTTTATTTAATTTATTTTAAGAAACAGGAAGCAACAGCCATTGCATTTTTATAAACAATTTACTTCCAAAAAAGGAAAACTGTTGCATTTGCTCATGTGTTAGAACATGTGAGATCCTACACTACTACTGCCTGTGTGTGTTCAGGGCTGGGGGAGTGAACGCTTCAGCCACACCAGCATCTCTCACCCTCCTACAGCTCAAACTGATTTAGCATCTTGCCAGAGGAATGAATGTGTAGTCTGAAGAGGGGATTTCTTTACTTTCTGTCTGTCTGCCTCTCAGTCTCTACAGACACGCTCTCACGTGCATTCTTGTAGATTTCAGCTGAATAAGCATCTGACAGTAGAGTAGGAAACGGTCCAACAAGCTCAGATACTGAGCATCCTTATGATCGCTTCCATTGGAAAAGCTAACCATAATCTCTCCCTGGAATCTGCAAATAATTAATCATCTCTTTCGGTCTTACTTTAGATTTAGAAACATCTGTAGTTAACAAGATACTTCAGCTAACACAGTTCCCAAGCCCCCACTGCTTTGTTTCTAATCAGATGTGTCTGTCCACAGCCTCAAAGTCTGAGTGGAGTTGAAATGAGGAAAAGGCAGCAGGGACACATTGAAGGACCCCCGCAGGCGCCTGGTCACCCGAGGCCCAACACCTGCTGTCTGTGTTGGTGTGGATGCTGCAAATGCCTCTGGTACACCCCATCCTTCATTATGGTCTGCTGTAAAGATGTACTTGCATGGTAGCTATTTGCTTAACAATGAGTTTTACATTGAGCAGCAAGTATTTTATCACCATTACATTACCTGCCTCAGGTACATTACTGTTCAAAAGTTTGGGGTTGGTAAGATTTTTTAATATGTTTTTGAATTCATTTGATCAAAAATACAGTAACAACAGTAATACTGTGAAATATTTTTTACCATTTAAAACAACTGTTTTCTGTTTTAGGTTTGTTTTTTTGTTTGTTTTTTTCTTTTTTTTGCTATGCAAAGCTGATTTTTAGCAGGCATTACTCCAGTCTTCAGTGTCACATGATCCTTCAGAAATCATATTAATATGCTGATTTGGTCATCAAGAAACATTTCTTATTATTATTAATGTTGAAAACAGCTGCTTAATATTTTTGTTTAAACGGTGATACTTTTTTTTCTTTCAGAATTCATTTATTAGGGCCCAAGCCAGTAAGGCGCAGGTTTTTCTAAGGATTATTATTATTTATTTATTTTATTTTTTTTATTCAACCTTCCGGGGCTTTTTGGGGGCCTTAATTGGTCATCAAGAAACATTTCTTATTAATGTTAACTCGGTGAACATGATCTCAGGACATTGGGGACGCTAAATTGCCAAGGGATTTTTGATATCTCGAACGGTTTGCC